GTCCACATTTGACTGGTACAGTTACAAGCACGTGTGTATGGCTGCCTGTGTTGGATAGCGTGTCCACATTTGACTGGTACAGTTACAAGCACGTGTGTATGTCTGCCTGTGTTGGATACCGTGTCGACATTTGACTGGTACAGTTACAAGCACGTGTGTATGGCTGCCTGTGTTGGATAGCGTGTCCACATTTGACTGGTACAGTTACAACCACGTGTGTATGGCTGCCTGTGTTGGACCTGTTGGATAGCGTGTCCACATTTGACTGGTACAGTTACAAGCACGTGTGTATGGCTGCCTGTGTTGGGTCTGTTGGATAGTGTGTCCACATTTGACTGGTACAGTTACAACCACGTGTGTATGGCTGCCTGTGTTGGATAGCGTGTCCACATTTGACTGGTACAGTTACAAGCACGTGTGTATGGCTGCCTGTGTTGGATAGCGTGTCCACATTTGACTGGTACAGTTACAACCACGTGTGTATGGCTGCCTGTGTTGGATAGCGTGTCCACATTTGACTGGTACAGTTACAAGCACGTGTGTATGGCTGCCTGTGTTGGATAGCGTGTCCACATTTGACTGGTACAGTTACAAGCACGTGTGTATGGCTGCCTGTGTTGGATAGCGTGTCCACATTTGACTGGTACAGTTACAACCACGTGTGTATGTCTGCCTGTGTTGGATACCGTGTCGACATTTGACTGGTACAGTTACAAGCACGTGTGTATGGCTGCCTGTGTTGGATAGCGTGTCCACATTTGACTGGTACAGTTACAAGCACGTGTGTATGGCTGCCTGTGTTGGGTCTGTTGGATAGTGTGTCCACATTTGACTGGTACAGTTACAACCACGTGTGTATGGCTGCCTGTGTTGGATAGCGTGTCCACATTTGACTGGTACAGTTACAAGCACGTGTGTATGGCTGCCTGTGTTGGATAGCGTGTCCACATTTGACTGGTACAGTTACAACCACGTGTGTATGGCTGCCTGTGTTGGATAGCGTGTCCACATTTGACTGGTACAGTTACAAGCACGTGTGTATGGCTGCCTGTGTTGGATAGCGTGTCCACATTTGACTGGTACAGTTACAAGCACGTGTGTATGGCTGCCTGTGTTGGATAGCGTGTCCACATTTGACTGGTACAGTTACAACCACGTGTGTATGTCTGCCTGTGTTGGATACCGTGTCGACATTTGACTGGTACAGTTACAAGCACGTGTGTATGGCTGCCTGTGTTGGATAGCGTGTCCACATTTGACTGGTACAGTTACAACCACGTGTGTATGGCTGCCTGTGTTGGACCTGTTGGATAGCGTGTCCACATTTGACTGGTACAGTTACAAGCACGTGTGTATGGCTGCCTGTGTTGGATAGCGTGTCCACATTTGACTGGTACAGTTACAACCACGTGTGTATGGCTGCCTGTGTTGGACCTGTTGGATAGCGTGTCGACACCCAGCAGTCAGCCACTTTGCACCAGTGCCAACAATGCTATCTGATAACTAGTCTGGCGCTGGGTGCACCCGTCCTCCACTGGTTACTGTTCTTTAGTGTGAGCGTACACATTTACCGAGTGCTTATCTCCCTTCGTTTGCAGTTGGGGATTTAGAAATCTCGCTCTTTATATTTGGTAGAAATTGTTGAAAGTGTACATGCATCATTAAATTCTGCACTTGACAACTTATATTTATATTGTGAACTAAAATACCAGTTGCAGTGCAGCTGTTTAAATATTTTAGCAGTAATATCAGAAAACTTGTTGTAAAAGGGTTGACTGTTGCTGAATGGCGCTTCTGTGGAGTGTATCAGGAGGTGTTTTTGTTTTTGTTTTTTTTTTTTTTTCATCTTTCTACGATACACACACGGGGCGAAAAAAGAAAAGAAAATGTATATAGAAAAAAATACATAATATACTTAAACATAATCCGCTTTCACGAAAGTTCGTCTTTCTGAAAGAACCAGTGATCCTACCGTGAGAGAATGCTGCTGGACCTGTCTCCAGCCCTTCTCTTCTTCCATTCTCTCTCTCTCTCTCTCCCCCCCCCCCTCCACAATGGCATCACGAAGTTTTAAACTCCCATCCTTAAAATGTTCATCATGTTTAATACGAAATATTAACGTCCCATCCCTGGAACCCCGCGCCCAGGTGTGTGACGTCACACTACCCATTCTTTGTCTTCACCTGTGATAACTGTTAGCGTAATTTTACCACTGGGAAGATAAAATTTACCGTTGGAGTTTTTGATGCCGTTTCGGTGGGCGTAAGTTGATCTTATTTTGCTTTCTTTTGGTGGACGTAAGTTGATCTTCTTTTGCTTTCTTTTGGTGGACGTAAGTTGATCTTCTTTTGCTTTCTTTTGGTGGACGTAAGTTGATCTTCTTTTGCTTTCTTTTGGTGGGCGTAAGTTGATCTTATTTTGCTTTCTTTTGGTGGACGTAAGTTGATCTTCTTTTGCTTCTTTTGGTAGGCGTAAGTTGATCTTATTTTGCTTTCTTTGAAGTGAAGATTGTTTAGACGAAACATCTACACCCGGTTTAAAAAGTACCTGGTCGATTCTCTGAGAGGTGAAAAATTACTAGCGCGTGCTTCTGGTTGGGAGAACTAATTAACCTTTGACTTTTAAAACGGACACCAGACTTTTCCTGGCAGCCGTTGGTGACCTTTAAACTCTTGTCACGTGCTGGTCTAGATGTATCCAGCACCATTCAATATTTATACTCGTTCATCTCTTGCTGATTGCTTCAATCTGTGGGAGAGGGGGCCATGCACTTCTTTCTACTGGCCCTCTGCTTCTTTCTACTGGCCCTCTGCTTCTTTCTACTGGCCCTCTGCTTCTTTCTACTGGCCCTCTGTTTGTCTCTATATACCTTGTGCTTGTATCTATAGGCCATGTGATTGTAGGGCCTGTGTACAGGCGATGTAATAGTATCTACTGGCCATGTGATTGTAGGGCCTGTGTACAGGCGATGTAATAGTATCTACTGGCCATGTGATTGTAGGGCCTGTGTACAGGCGATGTAATAGTATCTACTGGCCATGTGATTGTAGGGCCTGTGTACAGGCGATGTAATAGTATCTACTGGCCATGTGATTGTAGGGCCTGTGTACAGGCGATGTAATAGTATCTACTGGCCATGTGATTGTAGGGCCTGTGTACAGGCGATGTAATAGTATCTACTGGCCATGTGATTGTAGGGCCTGTGTACAGGCGATGTAATAGTATCTACTGGCCATGTGATTGTAGGGCCTGTGTACAGGCGATGTAATAGTATCTACTGGCCATGCGATTGTTGGGCCTGACAACGGGCCATGCGCGTGTATCTGCAAACTATGTGCTTGTATCTACAGGCTATGTTTCTTTTTTGTATCTGATGGCCATGTGATAGTATCTACAGGCCATGTTCTTGTATCTGCTGAGGTAGTCGCCAGCTTTGTTGTTCCCATAACGACAGGGCATGTTAAAGCTTTAACATTATCCTCAACTCTACCAATAACGACAGGGCATGTTAAAGCTTTAACATAATCCTCAACCATATCTCCTCCAGCCATACGGGCTACAAACTATAAGCTTGATACAATGCAGTATTGTCCTACCGGTGTTTAATAAAACCATCCAATGATCGAACAAAATGTAGTACTTGCTATGTGTGGCCCGTGCAGTATTTGTACAACGTAGATACACAACCCTCTTGTTTTGTCTGTTTTCAGTCAACCCTTTAGTACATGCTGCCCCTGACTTACAAGTTGCTGTTCTTGACGCTCCACTATGTGTTGTTGCCCTTGATTTACTAACTGCTCTTTCTTTACAGGTTATTTTTCTTGACTTGTAATTTGTTACGAATAGCCCAAACCTAACTTGTAGTTTAACACTGACTGTTATTGCTGGCCTAACAGAGCAGTGCTGGTGTACTGGCGATCCTTTGATCACAGCCATTATCTACTGTCAATTATTACGTTGTCACGATTACCATTTCAATCACAAACAGACCAATCACGATTACCACTTGGATCACAAACAACAATTACGATTACCACTTGGATCACAAACATAACGTCATGACCGCTACCACCAAGTCTATTCACTAAGATTATCTTAAAGTTCGTGGTTACCACATCTCTTACACACCACCCAGATTACCGCCACTATTGGGATTATCGACGTGGTGATTACTCACCACAATATTATTATTACCACAATCACACCACCACTGTGGTACTTATACCCGTCCCCCACGCCGGTGATTGCTCACCACAATATTATTATTACCACAATCACACCACCACTGTGGTACTTATACCCGTCCCCCACGCCGGTGATTGCTCACCACAATATTATTATTACCACAATCACACCACAACTGTGGTACTTATACCCGTCCCCCACGCCGGTGATTGCTCACCACAATATTATTATTACCACAATCACACCACCACTGTGGTACTTATACCCGTCCCCCACGCCGGTGATTGCTCACCACAATATTATTATTACCACAATCACACCACCACTGTGGTACTTATACCCGTCCCCCACGCCGGTGATTGCTCACCACAATATTATTATTACCACAATCACACCACCACTGTGGTACTTATACCCGTCCCCCACGCCGGTGATTGCTCACCACAATATTATTATTACCACAATCACACCACCACTGTGGTACTTATACCCGTCCCCCACGCCGGTGATTGCTCACCACAATATTATTATTACCACAATCACACCACAACTGTGGTACTTATACCCGTCCCCCACGCCGGTGATTGCTCACCACAATATTATTATCACCACAATCACACCACCACTGTGGTACTTATACCCGACCCCCACGCCGGTGCCGCCCCCAGCATCCCCCATCAGTAATCCCCCACTGAAGCAGTTAAGTAACAGGTTGAGAATGTGTGTATTGATTTGTTGCTGGTCACCCAGCGTCAGACCGACACGGCTCTCGTGTAGATGTGTGCCCTTGTGTGTTGCTGCTACTGCTGCATTACGCCATAGCTGGATGGCTCTGTGCTCCATACAAACAAGTGTCGCCGTTTCTTCGGTGCTGTGTTCTTTACTTATTTATTAGACGGCGATGGCAGGCATTGGCCCATGAGACTTTTGTTCGTGGCTCGGCTATAGATTTTGTCACGTTGTGTGAGGGGGATTGTGACTAACGTAAAGCCTGCATCAGTTAATTGAATGAGAGTCCAGAACTTGTGCTTATGTTTGGTGTTGAACTCTAATGCCGGATTATCCGTTTGTGTTAGCTTCAGATATTTTTATTTAACTAGTTGTAGGTAGGTAAGGAATTGTGTAGGAATTGATGTGTATGTTATAGCTCATTATAGTAAGATTATCAGATGTTGAAGTAGGATATCTCACAGTATACCCATCACCACCAGTCACCATACAGCCATCACCACCAGTTATCATACACCCATCACCACCATTCATCATACACCCATCACCACCATACACCCATCACCACCAGTCATCATACACCCATCACCACCAGTCACCATACACCCATCACCACCAGCCATCATACACCCATCCCCACCATACACCATACACCCATCACCACCTATCACCCATCACCACCAGTCACCATACAGCCATCACCACCAGTCACCATACACCCATCACCACCAGTCACCATACACCCATCACCACCAGTCACCATACACCCATCACCACCAGTCACCATACACCCATCCCCACCATACACCCATCACCACCAGTCACCATACACCCATCACCACCAGTCACCATACACCCATCACCACCAGTCACCATACACCCATCACCACCAGTCACCATACACCCATCCCCACCATACACCCATCACCACCAGTCACCATACACCCATCACCACCAGTCACCATACACACATCCCCACCATACACCCATCACCACCAGTCACCCATCACCACCAGTCACCATACACCCATCACCACCATACACCCATCACCACCATACACCCATCACCACCAGTCACCCATCACCACCAGTCACCATACACTCATCACCACCAGTCACCATACACCCATCACCACCAGTCACCATACACCCATCACCACCAGTCACCATACACCCATCACCACCAGTCACCATACACCCATCACCACCATACACCCATCACCACCAGTCACCATACAACCATCACCACATACACCCATCACCACCAGTCATCATACACCCATCACCACATACACCCATCACCACCAGTCACCATACACCCATCACCACATACACCCATCACCACCAGTCACCATACACCCATCACCACCAGTCATCATACACCCATCACCACCAGTCACCATACACCCATCACCACCATACACCCATCACCACCAGTCACCATACAACCATCACCACATACACCCATCACCACCAGTCATCATACACCCATCACCACATACACCCATCACCACCAGTCACCATACACCCATCACCACCATACACCCATACTCATCATACACCCAAACTCACCATACACCCATCACCACCATACACCCATCACCACCAGTCACCATACACCCATCACCACCATACACCCATACTCACCATACACCCAAACTCACCATACACCCATCACCACCATACACCCATCACCACCAGTCACCATACACCCATCACCACCAGTCACCCATCACCACCAGTCACCATACACCCATCACCACCAGTCACCATACACCCATCACTACCATCATTCCCACTGTCACTATCATCAAAGCAGATTCCACTATTCTTTTATAAAAACCTGGGGTATACATTTGGTATAGAGATCCAAGAAGCTATGGTTGTTAGGAACCCACCTATCCTGGTTATTCCTTAAACTGTTGGTTAGTGTACTATATTCCACAGGAACCCACTAGCTCAGTTATTCCTTAAACTGGTGGTTAGTGTACTATATTCCACAAGAACCCACTAGCTCAGTTATTCCTTAAACTGGTGGTTAGTGTACTATATTCCACAGGAACCCACTAGCTCAGTTATTCCTTAAACTGGTGGTTAGTGTACCATATTCCACAGGAACCCACTAGCTCAGTTATTCCTTAAACTGGTGGTTAGTGTACCATATTCCACAGGAACCCACTAGCTCAGTTATTCCTTAAACTGGTGGTTAGTGTACCATATTCCACAGGAACCCACTAGCTCAGTCCTGGTTATTTCTAGCTATTGATCTCTCTATGTGGAGTGTAGCTCTGGTCAATAATTGCTCCCCTTTTATCAGTGTTGCCTCTCACAAAGCATGCACACATGAGGTAATTAGTGGAGAAAATAAGTTGGGGCCCTGTCTTTGTTGGCTGTTTGCTGGTCATTTGGCATCACACTAGATGACCATGTCTGTCTGGCTGTTAGATGACCATGTCTGTCTGACTGTTAGATGACCATGTCTGTCTGGCTGTTAGATGACCATGTCTGTCTGGCTGTTAGATGACCATGTCTGTCTGGCTGTTAGATGACCATGTCTGTCTGGCTGTTAGATGACCATGTCTGTCTGGCTGTTAGATGACCATGTCTGTCTGGCTGTTAGATGACCATGTCTGTCTGGCTGTTAGATGACCATGTCTGTCTGGCTGTTAGATGACCATGTCTGTCTGGCTGTTAGATGACCATGTCTGTCTGGCTGTTAGATGACCATGTCTGTCTGGCTGTTAGATGACCATGTCTGTCTGGCTGTTAGATGACCATGTCTGTCTGGCTGTTAGATGACCATGTCTGGCTGTTAGATGACCATGTCTGTCTGACTGTTAGATGACCATGTCTGTCTCTGGCTGTTAGATGACCATGTCTGTCTGGCTGTTAGATGACCATGTGTGGCTGTTAGATGATCATGTCTGGCTGTTAGATGATCATGTCTGTCTGGCTGTTAGATGACCATGTCTGTCTGGCTGTTAGATGACCATGTCTGTCTGGCTGTTAGATGACCATGTCTGTCTGGCTGTTAGATGACCATGTCTGTCTGGCTGTTAGATGCCCATGTCTGGTTGTTAGATGACCATGTCTGTCTGGCTGTTAGATGACCATGTCTGTCTGGCTGTTAGATGACCATGTCTGTCTGGCTGTTAGATGACCATGTCTGTCTGGCTGTTAGATGCCCATGTCTGGTTGTTAGATGACCATGTCTGTCTGACTGTTAGATGACCATGTCTGTCTGGCTGTTAGATGACCATGTCTGGCTGTTAGATGACCATGTCTGACAGCTAATCTCTACTAGGTTACTCCAGCTAATCTCTACTAGGTCACTCTAGCTCATCTCTACTAGGTCACTCCAGCTAATCTCTACTAGGTCACTCTAGCTAATCTCTACTAGGTCACTCCAGCTAATCTCTACTAGGTCACTCCAGCTAATCTCTACTAGGTCACTCTAGCTAATCTCTACTAGGTCACCACAGCTGGTGTGTTACAGCTAATCTCTGCTAACACTCCCCAGGTGTGCCTGGAATGTGGACTACTCATCTTTCTGGCTCCATTTTTTTATGCTTGTTTGCTTCCTGTCTGCCACATTTCTTGTGTAGCTTTCTTCTCTTCAATGGTTAAAGAAGCGTTAAACTGGGAGAGAAAAAATTTGGCCATCAATAACAATAAGTAGATGGGTTTACTGCTGGGTTTGGTTTGTTGTTTGATAAAGTGGAGTTTTGTCAATCTAATCACCATAAACATTTGTTCTCAGCCCTAACTGTGTAGTAAATGTGTTGTCTTCTCTCCAGATACTCTGAGCTTCACTTTCTTCTCGCTTGCTTTAAACTCAAGCTTAGCCACCATAAATAGATGCTAAGATAATTATAGCAATTTGTATCCACTTTGAATTCTGTTGAAATGTCTTTGTAAATAAAAGTGATGCGTGGCTGCCATTAGCTTGTAAGGCAAACATTTTTTTAAGCCTAAGATTTGATATGTTCTGTCTGACAGCTGTGTTATACCTAGGGAGAAGTTGTAGAATCATATTTTACACATGGTAAAGATTTGTGACTGTTTGTAGCTGTGTTGGGTGGGGGTTAGTTACTGCTTGTTGTGTGTGTCAGTGAAAGTACTGTGAAAGACATACAAAGATTTGTAATTGTTTGTCTGTAGCTGTGTAGGGTGGGGGTTAGTTACTGCTTGTTGTGTGTCAGTGAAAGACATACAAAGATTTGTGACTGTTTGTCTGTAGTTGTGTAGGGTGGGGGTTAGTTACTGCTTGTTGTGTCAGTGAAAGACATACAAAGATTTGTGACTGTTTGTCTGTAGCTTTGTAGGGTGGGGCAGGTACACAAATTTGTTACTTGTTTACTACTCGCATGTAGCAGTTGAGGATTGGGTTAATGTTTTGTGTTTGGTTGTCGCTGGTTTCAACTTTCTACAACCTGTTACAATTGCTGCGCAGGCTGTTAATACCATTGCTGCGTTACAGTATTCAGGGTTTCATAAACTTACCTACTGCTGTTGACACTAGAGCTGCAATAAGTTTTAATAATTGATTTTTTTATTGGTGAGTGGTGCAAGTTGATCATATATGTTTGTTGGCGCAAGTTAATCATACGTGTTTGTTGTTGGGGCAAGTTGATCACTTATATGGGGCAAGTAGATCACATATGTTGGTGCTGCCCCAGGTTTTGTTTCATGACTAATGCTTGTAACAAAGAATTCCAATCTACTGGCAGCAGATAGTTGTTGTATGTTGGATAACATTCTTCTTGATGTGGAAAGTTGTTGTACATTTTTAATACCATTTTAGCTGTCATAAAAAGTTGTTTTGAGTACCATTCTACCTGTTGTAAAAAAGTTGTTTTGAATACCATTGCAGTGAAGAATTGTTTGGAGCGTTGTGATTCAGCCATTTGTGATTAATGAATTGAAGCAACAAAACTTGTAAACATAAGCCATGTGTTCTTGACTAGCTAAGCCATTGATCACTGTGCATTTGGGACCAATAGGCATATAGTGTATAGATGAATATCTAGATGGGGAAAGTGTGCATTCATTATTTGGTACAAACTGTGGTAGTGACATGCGAATCAAGGCTGGGGAGACCAATGGGCTGCTGGGAAACATGGAGAGCAATCCCATAATGCATGAAACCTTGCCCCAAGGCAGGATGGGAAGGCTGAAGAAGGAGGTCACCTCTGGACTCAGTGACATTGATTCGCTGGTAATTTTATTTCTACACATTAACACCTGCCACAGCTTTATCCTGCCCAAATATTTTCGTCTATACTATTCTAAACAATATGGTCAAGGGTGTAAAATATTGCAACATGTTTCCTCATTATATTACCACATGTTGTATTACCACCTCTATAAAAACAATTCAACTGGGGTGTATGTATATATAGTTTTTTTTCTATTTTAAATTAATGAATTTTTTAAAAATATATTTGCATTATCAAAAGAGTACAATTCCATCCAGAAGTAACTAATTATTTTCAAACTGGTGTCGTAACATGTCTTACAAAATTTATTGTGGAATTTAACTATTATATTTACTGCAATATAAGCCAGTTTTTTAGGCAAATATTACTAATGGTTTTAAACAAATATCCATTTTATAAAAAGTAATCAATTGTTAGCATAAATTTCCTTTATCTATCAAACAATTCTTTTATAGATAAGTGGAAGAAATCAGACTAGAATATAGAGGATAGAAACATGTTTACTTAAACATTTAAACATTTTGATTTGCTGCCTAGATATTAGGCTGTTGTTTGAGAGTGCTACTATCTTTGTGTACTTACTTATTGAGATGAACATACATAAATATTCAGTCTCACATTACTTTCATCATGTTTTCATGTATACAGGAGCGTACTGTCAGGTTTTTTAGGAGGACTGAGACACAAAACTTTTTCTACAACCCTCTTGTACTGAAAGTCTTATTTCTACATCAGCTATTTGTGTGTTTCAGGGTTCTGCAGATTATAACTACATTGCCTATAATCTTGTGTTTAAACTGAAAGTCTTGTTTCTGCATCAGATATTTGTGTGTTTCAGGGTTCTGCAGATTATAACTACATTACCTATCATCTTGTGTTTAAACTGAAAGTCTTGTTTCTGCATCAGATATTTGTGTGTTTCAGGGTTCTGCAGATTATAGCTACATTACCTACAATCCTCTTGTTTAAACTAAAAGTCTTGTTTCTACATCAGCTATTTGTGTGTTTCAGTGACCTGCAGATTATAACTACATTGCCTATAATCTTGTGTTTAAACTGAAAGTCTTGTTTCTGCATCAGATATTTGTGTGTTTCAGGGTTCTGCAGATTATAACTACATTACCTATCATCTTGTGTTTAAACTGAAAGTCTTGTTTCTGCATCAGATATTTGTGTGTTTCAGGGTTCTGCAGATTATAACTACATTACCTATCATCTTGTGTTTAAACTGAAAGTCTTGTTTCTGCATCAGATATTTGTGTGTTTCAGGGTTCTGCAGATTATAACTACATTACCTATCATCTTGTGTTTAAACTGAAAGTCTTGTTTCTGCATCAGATATTTGTGTGTTTCAGGGTTCTGCAGATTATAACTACATTACCTATCATCTTGTGTTTAAACTGAAAGTCTTGTTTCTGCATCAGATATTTGTGTGTTTCAGGGTTCTGCAGATTATAACTACATTACCTATCATCTTGTGTTTAAACTGAAAGTCTTGTTTCTGCATCAGATATTTGTGTGTTTCAGGGTTCTGCAGATTATAACTACATTACCTATCATCTTGTGTTTAAACTGAAAGTCTTGTTTCTGCATCAGTGATTTGTGTGTTTCAGGGTTCTGCAGATTATAACTACATTACCTATCATCTTGTGTTTAAACTGAAAGTCTTGTTTCTGCATCAGATATTTGTGTGTTTCAGGGTTCTGCAGATTATAACTACATTACCTATCATCTTGTGTTTAAACTGAAAGTCTTGTTTCTGCATCAGATATTTGTGTGTTTCAGGGTTCTGCAGATTATAACTACATTGCCTATAATCTTGTGTTTAAACTGAAAGTCTTGTTTCTGCATCAGATATTTGTGTGTTTCAGGGTTCTGCAGATTATAACTACATTACCTATCATCTTGTGTTTAAACTGAAAGTCTTGTTTCTGCATCAGATATTTGTGTGTTTCAGGGTTCTGCAGATTATAACTACATTGCCTATAATCTTGTGTTTAAACTGAAAGTCTTGTTTCTGCATCAGATATTTGTGTGTTTCAGGGTTCTGCAGATTATAACTACATTACCTATCATCTTGTGTTTAAACTGAAAGTCTTGTTTCTGCATCAGATATTTGTGTGTTTCAGGGTTCTGCAGATTATAACTACATTACCTATCATCTTGTGTTTAAACTGAAAGTCTTGTTTCTGCATCAGATATTTGTGTGTTTCAGGGTTCTGCAGATTATAACTACATTACCTATCATCTTGTGTTTAAACTGAAAGTCTTGTTTCTGCATCAGATATTTGTGTGTTTCAGGGTTCTGCAGATTATAACTACATTACCTATCATCTTGTGTTTAAACTGAAAGTCTTGTTTCTGCATCAGATATTTGTGTGTTTCAGGGTTCTGCAGATTATAACTACATTACCTATCATCTTGTGTTTAAACTGAAAGTCTTGTTTCTGCATCAGTGATTTGTGTGTTTCAGGGTTCTGCAGATTATAACTACATTACCTATCATCTTGTGTTTAAACTGAAAGTCTTGTTTCTGCATCAGATATTTGTGTGTTTCAGGGTTCTGCAGATTATAACTACATTACCTATCATCTTGTGTTTAAACTGAAAGTCTTGTTTCTGCATCAGATATTTGTGTGTTTCAGGGTTCTGCAGATTATAACTACATTACCTATCATACTGTGTTTAAACTGAAAGTCTTGTTTCTGCATCAGATATTTGTGTGTTTCAGGGTTCTGCAGATTATAACTACATTGCCTATAATCTTGTGTTTAAACTGAAAGTCTTGTTTCTGCATCAGATATTTGTGTGTTTCAGGGTTCTGCAGATTATAACTACATTACCTATCATCTTGTGTTTAAACTGAAAGTCTTGTTTCTGCATCAGATATTTGTGTGTTTCAGGGTTCTGCAGATTATAACTACATTACCTATCATCTTGTGTTTAAACTGAAAGTCTTGTTTCTGCATCAGATATTTGTGTGTTTCAGGGTTCTGCAGATTATAACTACATTACCTATCATCTTGTGTTTAAACTGAAAGTCTTGTTTCTGCATCAGATATTTGTGTGTTTCAGGGTTCTGCAGATTATAACTACATTACCTATCATCTTGTGTTTAAACTGAAAGTCTTGTTTCTGCATCAGATATTTGTGTGTTTCAGGGTTCTGCAGATTATAACTACATTACCTATCATCTTGTGTTTAAACTGAAAGTCTTGTTTCTGCATCAGATATTTGTGTGTTTCAGTGACCTGCAGATTATAACTACATTACCTATCATCTTGTGTTTAAACTGAAAGTCTTGTTTCTGCATCAGATATTTGTGTGTTTCAGGGTTCTGCAGATTATAACTACATTACCTATCATCTTGTGTTTAAACTGAAAGTCTTGTTTCTGCATCAGATATTTGTGTGTTTCAGTGACCTGCAGATTATAACTACATTACCTATCATCTTATGTTTAAACTGAAAGTCTTGTTTCTACATCAGTGATTTGTGTGTTTCAGGGTTCTGCAGATTCCAACTACAGTCAGCCATCCTCAGATATTTCATTAGATGAAGAGAAGGAAGCACTGAGACGAGAGACAGAGAGGCAAGCCCTTACTCAATTAGAGAAGGCCAAGGTTGGTACAACAGTTTCACTTTGTCACATATCTACAATCTACCACCACATTTGGCTAGGTTCGTTATAAATGTCCGCACATGTCATTTGAAATAGTCTGATTCAACTTGAACTCAGTGATTATCAAATCATACCAGGAGCTATTGTGTTATGAATACAAGTCATCCTCCACATATATTGATGTATGAATGTTGTCCAGCTTAACATTCTGGTCTATATTCACTAGTTGATGTGAGGGAGGATACTAAAAGTGGTTCATGAAATTGTAATCCACATGAGTAACATTCTGGTTTATATTCAATAGTTGATGTGAGGGGATGATACTAAAAGTGGTTCATGAAATTGTAGTCCACATGAGTAACATTCTGGTCTATATTCAATAGTTGATGTGAGGGGATGATACTAAAAGTGGTTCATGAAATTGTAGTCCACATGAGTAACATTCTGGTCTATATTCACTAGTTGATGTGAGGGATGATACTAAAAGTGGTTCATGAAATTGTAGTCCACATGAGTAACATTCTGGTCTATATTCAATAGTTGATGTGAGGGGATGATACTAAAAGTGGTTCATGAAATTGTAGTCCACATGAGTAACATTCTGGTCTATATTCAATAGTTGATGTGAGGGGATGATACTAAAAATGGTTCATGAAATTGTAGTCCACATGAGTAACATTCTGGTCTATATTCACTAGTTGATGTGAGGGATGATACTAAAAATGGTTCATGAAATTGTAGTCCACATGAGTAACATTCTGGTCTATATTCACTAGTTGATGTGAGGGATGATACTAAAAATGGTTCATGAAATTGTAGTCCACATGAGTAACATTCTGGTCTATATTCACTAGTTGATGTGAGGGATGATACTAAAAGTGGTTCATGAAATTGTAGTCCACATAAGAGGCTTTATCCGGCTAGTTAAAATAGAAGTTTAAAATAACAAATCCTACATAGATAGGTCTACCCAAATGTTCTCTTTGTCCTATCAAGCCACGGTTCCACTTGATGAATATGGCATTAGATCAAATCATTTCCGTATGGAAGCTGGCTTTAGATATACTTGGATATTGAACATTTTGTTTCACTCTGAATGTCACTCCCTTTCATTATTGGTAACTAGAGGTAATTACACATAATGAGCATTTAGCCTACATTAGCTAACTTATTTTCTTCCCCACTGAAATGGTGGCAAATCTGTTTGATTAGAAGAACGTGTCACCCAGTTATTATGGGGAGTCTGGGTTGTTTATTCTGGGATGGCCTGTTATAGGCGAGGTGAATTTATATTTTAACCAGCTTGTGGGCTGACATTAAATGGTAGATGTTGTCTTACTTTAACCAGCTGGCATTGAATGTTGGATGTTGTCTTTAACCAGCTGACATTAAATGGTAGATGTTGTCTTACTTTAACCTGCTGACATTAAATGTTGGATGTTGTCTTACTTTAACCAGCTGACATAGAATGTTGGATGTTGTCTTACTTTAACCAGCTGACATTAAATGTTGGGTGTTGTATTACTTTAACCAGCTGACATTAAATGTAGGGTGTTGTCTTAATTTAACCAGCTGACATTAAATGTTGGATGTTGTCTTTAACCAGCTGACATTAAATGTTGGATGTTGTCATACTTTGACCAACTGACATTAAATGTTGGATGTTGTCTTATTTTAACCACCTGTCCATTATTCATTTTCTTCATTTCTCACTATCAAGCCTTTCCAGATAGTTAGGCTTGTCTATTCTATCTTGCCATCTCTAGTCATTATACCCAACATGTTGCCCAACATGAGTGTAATGTTTGTAACATCTGTTGGACTATTTTAAAAAACATGCATGGGTGCTGGGCTGGTGTGTGTTGGGTAACACATGGTATTTATGCTGCATGTGTAACACATGGTATTTATGCTGCATGCGTAACACATGGTATTTATGCTGCATGTGTAACACATGGTATTTATGCTGCATGTGTAACACTTGACCAGTCTGTAACACATGGTACTTATGCTGAATGTGTAACACATGATATTTATGCTGCATGTGTAACACTTGACCAGTCTGTAACACATGGTATTTATGCTGCATGTGTAACACTTGACCAGTCTGTAACACATGGTACTTATGCTGAATGTGTAACACATGATATTTATGCTGCATGTGTAACACTTGACCAGTCTGTAACACATGGTATTTATGCTGCATGTGTAACACATGGTATTTATGCTGCATGTGTAACACTTGACCAGTCTGTAACACATGGTATTTATGCTGCATGTGTAACACATGGTATTTATGCTGCATGTGTAACACTTGACCAGTCTGTAACACATGGTATTTATGCTGCATGTGTAACACATGGTATTTATGCTGCATGTGTAACACATGGTATTTATGCTGCATGTGTAACACTTGACCAGTCTGTAACACATGGTATTTATGCTGCATGTGTAGCAGATGGCCAGTTTTCACATCTTTTGTTATTGGACAGCTTGGTAGCGCTAGGCTGCTGACCTGAAAGTCTCATGTTTAAATCCGGGTAAAATCAGTAGAACGTCCCTTAGTCCACCCATTTCTGGGTAAATGCGGCTGGGCAAAGTGCTGACCACACCTTCTCTTCATATGTTGAGGTCAAGAAACATGAACTCTACTTGAACCCAGTGGATCGCGAGGTCTTAAGAGGGTTCTTTTTACTTGACATCTTTTGTTAATGTTATTAAACCAGTCTCCACCACTTGTGTTACTGTAATTCAATCTTGCATATTAAAAGGTTTAGTTACTGTTATTAAACCAGTCTCCACCACTTGTGTTACTGTAATTCAATCTTGCATATTAAAAGGTTTAGTTACTGTTATTAAACCACCACTTGTGTTACTGTAATTCAATCTTGCATATTAAAAGGTTTAGTTACTGTTATTAAACCACCACTTGTGTTACTGTAATTCAATCTTGCATATTAAAAGGTTTAGTTACTGTTATTAAACCACCACTTGTGTTACTGTAATTCAATCTTGCATATTAAAAGGTTTTCAAACCTGCTGGTTGTTGAGAACAAGTCTTATTATGATTGTATAATGCACAGAAAGGTTAAGGGCATGTGTATCTTGTACTCAATTTTTTAAAAACTTGGTGTTCTTAAATATAGTGTACAGGCTAGAGCTTGGTATACCCAGTAATGTAATAGTCTAGATTTGGTATACTGAGAGTGTCCTTCATCTGAAACTGGTATACCCAGCAATATAATACAATCTAGATCTGGTATACTGAGAGTGTTCTTCATCTAAAAAGTATACCCATGGGTGTAATACAGTCTAGAGCTGAATATAATTTTATCCCTGGAATTCAAGCTCTATTTCTTGAGACTTAAGTTAACATTCACAACACTTATCCTCACAAAACCTCCCTGAACAACACCTTCCCTCACAACTCTTACCCTAACAACACCTTCCCTCACAACTCTTACCCTAACAACACCTTCCCTCACAACTCTTACCCTAACAACACCTTCCCTCACAACTCTTACCCTAACAACACCTTCCCTCACAACTCTTACCCTAACAACACTTTCCCCTTGAAACTATCTAACCACCTGCTTTAGCTTGACAAGAGTTACTCAACAGTAACAACAGTTGTACATGAGTTTCCATCCAGTTACAAACCCTAACCTTAGCTGTAAAACCAAGACAATAATAAAGCTAACATGCACACCTTTCTCTTCAGGCCAAGCCAGTGGCGTTTGCTGTTAGAACCAATGTGTCCTATGATGGCTCTGCTGATGATGACTCGCCTGTACATGGCTATGCTGTGTCTTTCGGTGTCAGAGATTACCTCCATATAAAAGAAGTAAGTAGTGATAAGGTGGGGGTATAGCAACATTAGATGTTATATATTAAAGGGGTAACTCATGATAGGTTAGGGGTAACTCATGATAGGTTCGGGGTGACATTAGGTTTAATTAGAGTTTGAGCAGTGAATCTGTATCAACACAACCCATCTTGATGGTGGCTGTTGAACTTGCTGCATTATATTGTGTGTATACTCCAGTAGAACACAGCACATCATGTGTGTAGATTTCTCATCAACACACCAATACTAGATTAATGTACCTAACTAAAAAGGCTTATAGTTTTACTCTAGGATTTAGTACAGACCCTTAATTTTCATGTCTTATAAATGTTGTAATATTTTTCTCCTAGAAATTTAAAAATGACTAGATAGGTCTTATAAATGTTGCCATTGTTTCCTCCTAGAAATTTAACAATTACTAGATAGGTCTTATAACTGTTGCAATTGTTTCCTTTTAGAAATTTAACAATGACTGGTGGATAGGTCTTATAACTGTTGCAATTGTTTCCTTTTAGAAATTTAACAATGACTGGTGGATAGGTCTTATAACTGTTGCAATTGTTTCCTTTTAGAAATTTAACAATGACTGGTGGATAGGTCTTATAAATGTTGCCATTGTTTCCTCCTAGAAATTTAACAATTACTAGATAGGTCTTATAACTGTTGCAATTGTTTCCTTTTAGAAATTTAACAATGACTGGTGGATAGGTCTTATAACTGTTGCAATTGTTTCCTTTTAGAAATTTAACAATGACTGGTGGATAGGTCTTATAAATGTTGCCATTGTTTCCTCCTAGAAATTTAACAATTACTAGATAGGTCTTATAACTGTTGCAATTGTTTCCTTTTAGAAATTTAACAATGACTGGTGGATAGGTCTTATAACTGTTGCCATTGTTTCCTCCTAGAAATTTAACAATTACTAGATAGGTCTTATAACTGTTGCAATTGTTTCCTTTTAGAAATTTAACAATGACTGGTGGATAGGTCTTATAAATGTTGCCATTGTTTCCTCCTAGAAATTTAACAATTACTAGATAGGTCTTATAAATGTTGCAATTGTTTCCTCCTAGAAATTTAACAATTACTAGATAGGTCTTATAAATGTTGCAATTGTTTCCTCCTAGAAATTTAACAATTACTAGATAGGTCTTATAAATGTTGCAATTGTTTCCTCCTAGAAATTTAACAATGGCGGGTGGATAGGTCTTATAAATGTTGCAATTGTTTCCTTCTAGAAATTTAACAATGACTGGTGGATAGGTCTTATAAATGTTGCAATTGTTTCCTTCTAGAAATTTAACAATGACTGGTGGATAGGTCTTATAAATGTTGCCATTGTTTCCTCCTAGAAATTTAACAATTACTAGATAGGTCTTATAAGTGTTACAATTGTTTGCTCCTAGAAATTTAACAATGACTGGTGGATAGGTCTTATAAATGTTGCAATTGTTTCCTTCTAGAAATTTAACAAAGACAGGTGGATAGGTCTTATAAATGTTGCCATTGTTTCCTCCTAGAAATTTAACAATTACTAGATAGGTCTTATAACTGTTGCAATTGTTTCCTTCTAGAAATTTAACAATGACTGGTGGATAGGTCGGCTGGTGAAGGAAGGATGTGATGTCAGATTCATCCCGAGCCCTGCCAAACTTGAAAACCTGAAGACTCAGTCAGGTGGTGGGGGACGGCAAGGGAAGCTCTACACTAGGTCAGTTGTCATCTGTGTTAGCTAGTTGTCATCTGTGTTAGCTAGTTGTCATCTGTGTTAACAAGTTGTCATCTGTGTTAACTAGTTGTCATCTGTGTTAACTAGTTGTCATCTGTGTTAACTTTTAACATATAAAAAGTATTTTTAACTTGACTGGCTGTGAGAACCTGTATGAGAAAAGTATAATCACAAGTGAAATAAATGACAGTACTACGGTTCTTGTGTTAGATATTTACTATCTTTACATCTTGTATGGCTTATAGGCCTACTTGGTTACGAAAAAAAAACTTTGCCATAAAAAAAATCTATTGTGTATTGGCTTTAATACTTTTAAAATGCCAGCTTCAATTTCCATAATCAAAACTACAATATCCGCTATATCTTTTTAGTTAACATTACGTTGGTCAAAAGAATTAAAAAAAAGTTTTACAAAGAGATTTAGTTTCATAAGACAGTAAAGTATTATATAATAAATGACAGAGCCTACATTCATAACTTGAGTGAAATAATGAGTGTACTAAAGCTGAAAGGTGGATGTAGCTAATTAGAATGTATACATGCGTAATAATCTAACAGTTAGTGGATTTTTGTTATGGTTTAAATTCAAAGCCACACACCCTTTATGTTCAATAACAATATAATGCGTTGTTTGATGTGAATTCTTGATCTTCAAATGTGCTAAAAATAGTTGTCCCAGTTAAAGTTTTGTCCTATATACTTTGATGTTAAATATAGTTGACAGCTATAGGTCAAAGCTTGGTGTCAATGTGCCAGTTTGTACAGCTAATGGTTGGTTCCCTGTGTTAATCTGTGCCAGGTCTCCTTAATGAGACATACCAAACTGCCAGGATAATTGGGGTGCAATTAGGTGAAATGTCAGTCTTACCAGCATGTGACCATATGGTTTTTTATACAAGTCTGGTTGACCTACACTCTGATATCTTTCATTTTTTCAACATATTTGTCATATCTGTGTCACTAGAGCAACATTTTGATGACCTACACTGTGATATCTTTCATTTTTACCAACATCTTTTTACTAAAATCTTGTTGGCCTACAGTATATCTCTGTCACTTTTACTAAAATCTTGTTGGCCTACAGTATATCTCTGTCACTTTTACTAAAATCTTGTTGGCCTACAGTATATCTCTGTCACTTTTACTAAAATCTTGTTGACCTACATTGTGATAGTTCTGTCACTTTTACTAAAATCTTGTTGTCCTACTGTATATCTCTGTCACTTTTACTAAAATCTTTTTGCCCAATAGTGCGATATCTGTATCAACAACCAACAGCAGCAATAACTCTCTTTTTATATAATAGTAGTCTTAAAAAAATGTTTACAACTAAAACAAGCACATACATACATAAATACTTTTTTTCATATAGTCTCTTCTCTGTTTGCATATTAGATGTGATATTTACTTTTTATTATCTACTGTCTAGTAAAGTGAATCCATTATTTCTAATGGCTGTAGCTCTTGATTTGTAGGTCTCTTAATGGTCAGCACTTTATCTGTAGGTTAATGGTCAGTACTTTATTTGTAGGTCTTCTAATGGTCAGCACTTTATCTGTAGGTCTTTTAATGGTCAGCACTTTATCTGTAGGTCTTCTAATGGTCAGCACTTTATCTGGCTTAGTATGTTGTTTTAAGTCATCTGATGGTCCTGTATTTGTAAGCCTTCTTATTGGCTTAGTATGTTGTTCTAAGTCATCTGATGGTCCTGTATTTGTAAGCCTTCTTATTGGCTTAGTATGTTGTTCTAAGTCATCTGATGGTCCTGTATCTGTAAGCCTTCTTATTGGCTTAGTATGTTGTTCTAAGTCATCTGATGGTCCTGTATTTGTAAGCCTTCTTATTGGCTTAGTATGTTGTTCTAAGTCATCTGATGGTCCTGTATTTGTAAGCCTTCTTATTGGCTTAGTATGTTGTTCTAAGTCATCTGATGGTCCTGTATTTGTAAGCCTTCTTATTGGCTTAGTATGTTGTTCTAAGTCATCTGATGGTCCTGTATCTGTAAGCCTTCTTATTGGCTTAGTATGTTGTTCTAAGTCATCTGATGGTCCTGTATTTGTAAGCCTTCTTATTGGCTTAGTATGTTGTTCTAAGTCATCTGATGGTCCTGTATTTGTAAGCCTTCTTATTGGCTTAGTATGTTGTTCTAAGTCATCTGATGGTCCTGTATTTGTAAGCCTTCTTATTGGCTTAGTATGTTGTTCTAAGTCATCTGATGGTCCTGTATTTGTAAGCCTTCTTATTGGCTTAGTATGTTGTTCTAAGTCATCTGATGGTCCTGTATCTGTAAGCCTTCTTATTGGCTTAGTATGTTGTTCTAAGTCATCTGATGGTCATGTATCTGTAAGCCTTCTTATTGGCTTAGTATGTTGTTCTAAGTCATCTGATGGTCCTGTATCTGTAAGCCTTCTTATTGGCTTAGTATGTTGTTCTAAGTCATCTGATGGTCATGTATTTGTAAGCCTTCTTATTGGCTTAGTATGTTGTTCTAAGTCATCTGATGGTCATGTATCTGTAAGCCTTCTTATTGGCTTAGTATGTTGTTCTAAGTCATCTGATGGTCATGTATTTGTAAGCCTTCTTATTGGCCTAGTATGTTGTTCTAAGTCATCTGATGGTCCTGTATTTGTAAGCCTTCTTATTGGCTTAGTATGTTGTTCTAAGTCATCTGATGGTCATGTATTTGTAAGCCTTCTTATTGGCTTAGTATGTTGTTCTAAGTCATCTGATGGTCATGTATTTGTAAGCCTTCTTATTGGCTTAGTATGTTGTTCTAAGTCATCTGATGGTCCTGTATTTGTAAGCCTTCTTATTGGCTTAGTATGTTGTTCTAAGTCATCTGATGGTCCTGTATCTGTAAGCCTTCTTATTGGCTTAGTATGTTGTTCTAAGTCATCTGATGTTCCTGTATCTGTAAGCCTTCTTATTGGCTTAGTATGTTGTTCTAAGTCATCTGATGTTCCTGTATTTGTAAGCCTTCTTATTGGCTGAGTATGTTGTTCTAAGTCATCTGATGGTCCTGTATTTGTAAGCCTTCTTATTGGCTTAGTATGTTGTTCTAAGTCATCTGATGGTCCTGTATTTGTAAGCCTTCTTATTGGCTTAGTATGTTGTTCTAAGTCATCTGATGGTCCTGTATCTGTAAGCCTTCTTATTGGCTTAGTATGTTGTTCTAAGTCGTCTGATGTCCCTGTATCTGTAAGCCTTCTTATTGGCTTAGTATGTTGTTCTAAGTCATCTGATGGTCATGTATCTGTAAGCCTTCTTATTGGCTTAGTATGTTGTTCTAAGTCGTCTGATGTTCCTGTATCTGTAAGCCTTCTTATTGGCTTAGTATGTTGTTCTAAGTCGTCTGATGTTCCTGTATCTGTAAGCCTTCTTATTGGCTTAGTATGTTGTTCTAAGTCATCTGATGGTCCTGTATCTGTAAGCCTTCTTATTGGCTTAGTATGTTGTTCTAAGTCGTCTGATGTTCCTGTATGTGTAAGCCTTCTAATGGCCCCAGCTCTTTGAGTCACTGAAGTATCTTGTATACATTATACAGAGTACTTGTGTATGCAGACCATGATATCCCATGTAGCAAGCTTCAAACTGAACCAGTTGTATTGTATTTCCTAGAGAGAACAGAGATTTCTCTCATTAGCATCCCAAGTCTAGAATGTTAAGGTGATTAATATTAATATCATGGGCACAGCATTCAACAAATAAAGTTCATAACCTCCACCACCCCCACCCCTGTACCAGTGCTGCTCCAGGAAAAATCAATACACAATAAAGCTGGATTTTTTCCCTTTGCATCTTGCTCTTTTATTTTCCTTGTCCCTGGTCTGCATTCATTTTCTCCTGCCAACTATTGGTGTCTTACTTCTCCCCCCCCCCCTCCCTGTAGGCTGGCTCTTGGCTTTTTCCCCTATTACATGTGATATTAGTTTTTTTTAAGAGCTGCAAATGAGTGGCTATAATAAGCTGTTGTAAGATTTTAAACTGCTGGAACACTGGAATCATCAATACAAATCATTCAAGTGAAGAGGATGACATTTGCCTTTTTTTTTCTCCTCTCCTGGAGAATTACTGATATAAAAACAATAGCTATGGCAACAAATTAAGCTCCCCTCATTCTACATGTTTTTTACCTCCTTTATCTGTGTGCTGATTTATCTACTTCTAATGGGTATAATACATAGGCTTTTTGTGGTCAATGGTTGGGTTTTCTTTTTTTTTGTTGAATGGGAAGTGGGGGGGGGGGGGAATACTATTGGCATATGAGGAATATACCAGATGGTTTATTGCAGTAAGTTATGAGGTTATAATTGTTATACCAATTGGGTTTTTGTGATACATTGCAAGCTTATTATAGTTGTTATACTGCTTTCTTGTTGTTTATTGCAGTAATCTATGAGGTTATAATTGTTATACCAATTGGAATTTGTGTGATATATTACAAACTTATTATAGCTAGGTTATACTGCTTTCTTGTTGTTTTGTCTGTTGTATCTCTTTTTTTTTGTAGGCAACAGTTGTATTTAGTTTTAAAAGATATCATTTTTTCACTAAAATGTCAATTTTGGTCTTATTGGAATGACTGAACGTTGATGATTGTCTACATTGTCTGAATACTTGGTTTCACTTGTTGACACTTTAAAGTTTTACTTACACCTGTCGTGAAGAACTTCTACACAGTCATGTTAAAATATTGTTAATTCCTCCCTCAAAAATATGTGGTTTTTGTTCACAGTTCTAGAACATACAGTAATGTTAAAACATTGCAGATTCCTCCCAAAAATATATGTGAGGCCATTCCTTTTTTTAAGCAGTCTTAAAGTGGTAGGAACCAGGGTGAAACCATCTTGTCTTTTTTAAGCAGTCTTAAAGTGGTAGGAAGCAGGGTGAAACCATCTTGTCTTAAAGTGGTAGGAACCAGGGTGAAACCATCTTGTCTTAAAGTGGTAGGAACCAGGGTGAAACCATCTTGTCTTAAAGTGGTAGGAGCCAGGGTGAAACCATCTTGTCTTAAAGTGGTAGGAACCAGGGTGAAACCATCTTGTCTTTTTTAAGCAGTCTTAAAGTGGTAGGAAGCAGGGTGAAACCATCTTGTCTTAAAGTGGTAGGAGCCAGGGTGAAACCATCTTGTCTGGCTCCGATCCTATCCTGGAGAAGTTATGAATATTTATTGGTAGTTTAGGCAGGCTGGCTGGATGGTTTACAAGCTGGCCAGCACAATCTCCTCTTGCCATTAGAACACTGGCCTCAAACACTCGTGTCAACAGCAGCTACAGCCTCGTATTAGCATACAGCTGTACAGTCCTAATGGTGTACATGTACGGCTGTATAGTTCTAATGATGTACATGTACGGCTGTATAGTCCTAATGGTGTACATGCACGGCTGTATTGTCCTAATGGTGTACATGTACGGCTGTATAGTCCTATTGATGTACATGTACGGCTGTGTACATTTACGGTTGTATAGTCCTAATGGTGTACATGCACGGCTGTATTGTCCTAATGGTGTACATGTACGGCTGTATAGTCCTATTGATGTACATGTACGGCTGTGTACATTTACGGCTGTATAGTCCTAAATATAATGGTGTACATGTATGGTTGTATAGTCCTAATGGTGTACATGTATGGCTGTATATTTCTGATGGTGTACATGTACTGCTGAAGATTCTAAGCTGTGTACTTGTACGGCTATATATGTTAAACTGTATACATGTAGGGCAATTTATACTAAGCTGTGTATATGTGGGGCTATATATTCTAAACTTTATACATGTAGAGCAGTATATGCTAAGCTGTGTGTATATGTCAGACAGTATATTCTATACTGTATACATGTTGGGAAGTATATGCTAAGCTGTGTATATGTCAGACAGTATATTCTATACTTTATACATGTAGAGCAATATGTTCTATGCTGATTCAGCAATATATCCTTTACTGGTGCGAGGTGAAATCTGAGGTTTACTGCTGTATTTTCTTTAACATACTGCCAGGTTTTCACAGTTCATTCAGGTTATGTAAATGACACAACTGTGCTAAAGAACCCAGTAGTTAAATTGTTGTACTTTTTTTTTTGCCTTTATCTTACAGTATTTCAATATATTTAGTTTGGGTGGTTTGTTAGTTCTAAAATACTGACTTGCTTGAGTTTTCAACCTGGCAGAGTTTTTGGGATGGCGCAATTACATTTGACCCCCCTTAGACTGTTTAAGTAAAGAGATTAGTTGAGCATAAGAATGCAGGCTGAGTTTGAGTCCCCAAGGACAGCTGAGCATTGTCTGCTCACACGAATTCCCTCCCCGCCCACTCTGATGACATTGCCAAAGATGCAGATGTTCTCCATTCCACCACTCATATAGACTGAGGTCTATAGGGGGATTTGTTTTCTAAGTTATCTTAAAGTGGCGAGTAGAACAGATATTGATGTAAAACCCCTATCAAGTATGTATTGCATTGATCAGACTGGTAAAACCTACATTACATGATTGTTGAGTTCTGGTTTCAAAATGTCACTTCTATTGTTTTTTTTTCCCCAGCAAAACTAATTCATCTTCCAATATAGATAATCTGTTGAATTCCTCCAAGCCATCCAACTCAAGGGGGTCTACACCCCCCACCCCAGGTAATGTTGTATATTTAATGGCATTGAAACTCTCACATATTAATATTCATAGAGTAAAATAAATGTATGATTTTTAGAGCATTGTGTTTCTATCTATATCATCCTATCTATATCATCCTGTGTACAACGAGTTTTGTCTTAAAGTGGTTGTCTCCCTCTTATCTTCAGTCACTTGCTGAGAGAATCATCATTTTTTAAACACTGGCTGTCATTGATTTTTACTCCTTAGGTATTGAGGAAACCCAAAATGGTGTTGACAGTAATGTTGGAGAAGACAGCGATAGCCTGGGCAACTCCAAGTCTAGCAAAGCTAGTATAACACCTCCAACCAAGGAGAAGCGGAAACCATTCTTTAAAAAGGTAAAATAAAGTTAAACACCCAGTAACCCATTATTTGAAAAGGTAAAAAAGAATTTCACATCCTCTAGAGCCCATTCTTTAAAAAGGTAAAGTTTTTACTAAACTACAGGAAACCATTCTTTAAAAAGGTAAAGTTTTTAAACATCGACTTAGGTTTGAAATTCACTCATCCCTTTTACCAGTGTAAACATTGAGTTAAGTTAGGCCACTCATCCACTCTGGATGTAATCCCTAGCAGCTGCCTAGAGAAAGTGAAATGACTTAATGGCTAATGGTTGATGAAAAAATGTCACTTGAATCATGCTGTGCTGGCCAGACATGTGTGCCTAGAGATCAATATTTGTACATAAGGTTATGTAAGGCTGATCAATACCCAGTTGATTACTGGCATCTTCAAGTTAGTCGGGGTTTGAAAACTGGCAATTTTTTAAATTGTTTATGCACTTCCTGTTACCTTCCCTAGTACTCAAATCTGACGTGGTTTTTTTTTTTCTTTTAAATGTTCAAAATTCAGTTAACTTGTTTTGTATTTTCTTTTAATTATTTTTTGGTAACGGACATTTTTAAAATTTAATTTTAAAAAATTTAAACTCTTCGTCAGTTAACTTATTTTGAGTATTGTGGATGGATGCTGGGACTTTTATGTCTGCTCTTAGAAAAGCTTTGCACATTTGAGTTTAATTGAAGCTTTTTTTCTTTCATTTGATGCAGTCTGAAAGTGCTCCTCCTTATGAAGTTGTGCCTTCCATGCGACCTGTTGTCTTGATTGGCCCATCTCTCAAGGGTTATGAGGTCACTGATATGATGCAAAAGGCACTTTTTGATTTTCTCAAGCATAGATTTGAAGGCCGGTCAGTACATTTACCTTCTATTCTGTTTTGCTTCATTTGTATATTGTAAAAACAATTTCAATCAATACCATACCATTATCCTTGTTGATTTTTATTATTTCAATATTGTGGAACATGGTAACTGTCATTTCAGCTACATAAATGCCATTTTTTTCTAGAATAATAATCACAAGAGTTACTGCTGACATCTCCTTGGCTAAGCGATCTTTACTGAATAACCCAAGTAAGAGAGCTATCATGGAGAGAACAAATCCAAGGGCCTCTGGTTTAGGTCAGTAGATTCTCTCCCTTGTTCTGTTTTATTTGTCTACACTCAATGTTTGTAGTATTCAGCCAGGATTAACAAGTTTTTGTAATTACTAACAATAAAAACTACATTTTTTTTTTATTTGGAGTAACTGCTTAAATGATCGCCTTATTGAGTAGTTAAGTAATTTTTAAGTTTTATCATTCTGTATGTGACATTAACTAATGTTGATCTGATGCTGTTCTTGTAGCTGTATGTGACATTAACTAATGTTGATCTGATGCTGTTCTTGTAGCTGTATGTGACATTAACTAATGTTGATCTGATGCTGTTCTTGTAGCTGTAATGTGACATTAACTAATGTTTATCTGATGTTGTTCTTGTAGCTGTATGTGACATTAACTAATGTTGATCTGATGCTGTTCTTGTAGCTGTATGTGACATTAACTAATGTTGATCTGATGCTGTTCTTGTAGCTGTATGTGACATTAACTAATATTCTTTTAGCTGTATGTGACATTAACTAATGTTGATCTGATGCTGTTCTTGTAGCTGTATGTGGCATTAACTAATGTTGATCTGATGCTGTTCTTGTAGCGGAGGTTCAGGCAGAGATAGAGCGGATCTTTGAGTTAGCCAGAGCATTGCAATTAGTTGTCTTAGACTGTGACACAATAAATCACCCGTCACAGCTAGCCAAAACCTCACTTGCACCCATTGTTGCATATGTGAAAATTTCTTCACCAAAGGTGAGTACATACACCGGGAGGGTTACCATACCTATGTTGGTGTGTTGCCTGTTTAGATAGTGCTGACTGGGTTTATCTAGGAGTTTATCTCCTGTAATCTAGGAGAATGATGTTGATCTGCGCTCACCACAATTTTTTTGTTCTGTAGGTTTTACAGAGATTGATAAAGTCAAGAGGCAAATCTCAGTCTAGGAACATGAATGTACAGTTGGTAGCTGCAGACAAGCTAGCTCAATGTGCCCCTGTAAGTCTACTTCTCATCCGTCATTGAAGAATTTAGCATCTCTTTGCATTTTTTAATATCTTTAAGTTTGATTATTGTTACCCTAATTGTCAAAAAACAATGTCTTAAATACAGTCTGATTGAATCCACGTAAGGGGTGGGGGGGGGGGGGGGGGTAAATGCTCAAAAAATTAAATATTAGATGAAAGCTAAAACTAATGTTTTTTAAATCTCTTCCGCTGAAGTCAAGTCAGAATTTCAGAAAATTAAATAGCTTATGTCAGATTTCTGAAAAGAGACGAAAACTCATTATTTGTGTGAAACTGGATGAAAATCAGCTGGATGATGCTTTAAAAAATTCTTGTAAGATACTGTTGTAACATGAATTATTGTAGGACACTTTGTAATGACCTGTATCTCTTATAGGAAATGTTTGATGTGATACTGGATGAAAATCAGCTGGATGATGCATGTGAGCACTTAGCAGAATTTCTCGAGGCATATTGGAGGGCCACACACCCCCCTAACATGAGTCCGCCATCCCCTCACAGTCCTCACAGAGGACCTACCAGCTCCTCTATGCCTCTAGCTAGACACAACACAGCCCCTGCTAGTCACATGTCTCACAGGTAAGACCGTGTTTGCTTACTTCATTATGAAGTTGTTTTAGCCATCATAGCTAACTACACAAATATTTCAAGCACTTTTTAACTTCAACTCTTAAGAAATTTTAAAAATCTAGAATGCTTGAAAAGCTCTTGTTGGTAGTATATATTGTCTAAACCACTTAAATTTTGTTTCTGAATGCTAGAGTACCAAAGTATTTTACAATTAACCAATTGTATATAAAAATCACTCAAACCTTAAATGATTCATAATTTAAATATAAAAATTATATATTTTTATTTCCTTTGTATGATATAAATTATGAATATTTTAAAAATTACAATAAAAAGGAAATTTGTTTCATTTTATTAGCTATTGATTTTAAATTTAAATACAACTATTATTTATTCTACTACAGCATTTAACAGAATAAATAACCTGTTGAATTAACTAGATAGTAATTCTTATGAAATTATATAAGTGGTAAAAAGCAATGACGTATTTACAGTTGCAGTTGTTTTAAGAAGTTCGGAAAGATATTTTTTTTTTATTTTCTTGTTGCTACTGGTCAACATTCTTATGAATAAATAAAACAATTCCATAGAAATATCCCTAAAATTGTAATGGTTGTAGGCAGTTAGCTTTTTCATTCTTAGTTAGCTAATGAATGCTCTCTTAGAGTTAGCTAACTTATTTTCTCTTATTAGAGTAAGCTAATTGTTTTCTTGATGTGTACACTGAGCAAGTTACTAAATTTCTCCAACACTTTACAGTAGGTCAGGGAGCCTTGAAAGAGTGAACTCCCCTGACAGTGACCGCCACCACCGTGAACACAGCAGCCACCACCATCACCATGACAGGCAGGGAAGCAGTCGCCACCATGATGATGACTATGACAGTGATCGCCATGGCGACCACCATAGGTCACATGATCATGGCCATGATCACAGCCACACTTCCCCTCGGGGGTCTAAGTACCCTGTTCGTCAAGGGAGTATAGACATTTAGCAGCACGGAGCATCATACACCATTCTACCATAAGTGTGAATAATCTCAACAGTACACTTTGCTTTGAAGTGATTATGTATGCATTCAAGCAACAAAGAACTTATTTGTATGGAGAAAAAGGATTTGCAAAAAAAAAAAACTTTTTTTTCGAAATTTCTTGTCAATAATTTTTTCTCTAGATTGTTTTTCTCTACTAAAAGTGACGGCATATTTGAACTAACTGTATAGTGTCCACTGTACTGTGGATAAGCCAGGGCTAGAAACTAACTACTAATTCAAGGACAGACTCATCTGGATACTAGTTTGTGTTCTTTTAAAGCTCCTTCATCTTCAAAATATGATGTTTCAAATCATTTCTTTATACACATGTTTACGTAACATAAACCATTTCAAAGTGAAAAGTTTGATGAAAAAGTTGAAGAATTCTCACCGTTTTTTTACATGACGAAGCAAATGTAATCTAGAACTCATTTCTTAAACTAACCAAGACTAGGGTATCCAGTTTCTACCAATACAACGCAACTTTTCTAACCTCGCTCCACCCCCCACACCCCAGCTGAGATACTGTATCATTGATTCATCTTTTGTACAGTTTTTTTTTTTACTCTCAATATTATTGCACTGTGTAATTCTTGTGTGTGATAAAACACTGACAGATGATATTCACTGGCTATGTTGAGACCCATCTCTACGTAGGTGGGTTATTGCTCTACAACACAAAACTAAACTTACCATGAATGTTGGTGGTTGATTTTTTTATCGTTTAGTTATTTAAGTCATTTTCTGCAGTAAAAAAAAAAATTGAAAAATATAGTCAGAATAATTTTTTAAGAAATGAGATTTTTAATTTAAGATCTTATTTATTTTATTTTTTGGAGTTCTATCACTCCAAGAGTAGACATTTGTTTGTCGGAATTATTTATTTATTGCAGATTTTGACGGGTTGTGCAATACTGACAAAATGATGTGAGAGTTAGTCAGATGGTTGTGTTTGAAGATGGTTGTAAATTATGAAGAAAGTATTACTTTTCATGTATCTTAAGTTGTCAACTTTTTTTTAATTTGTCAGCAAAGATACTAAACTATCTTGGTGGGTTTGTGATGGCATTAACTTTTATTTGTAAAGTTAGAAAATTTTACTTGTTTATCTCCCCTAGTGAAATTAGCCTAATTTGCTCCCTGGAATTTGTGCAATATTTTTTTCACATGTTTACAATGTGCATGTTTTCTGTGTGTGAATCATGTAGGAAGATGGAGCCACTCAGATCTGATATTTATTTTTTGGGCTTTTGTTCTAGTAAGTAATGCTGGCATTACTTTTTTGTGATGTTTATTTATTTTAGCCTGTGGTAACCAGGTTTTTGTAGCTTGATTTTTTTTTTTTTGTGATAACTTAGTTGGTTCTGCAAGAACTGATGTGTGTAGTGATTGAAGACTGGGATTATTTAGCACGACACAGTACATGTGCTGGAGACAATGCTTAAAATGCTTCCATTTTGGTTTTATAGCTTTAGAACAAATACAACTTCCACTCATAGGAATTTTTTTTTTTCTGTACCTCAAAATCTGGTCGTCATTAATTCCAAAATTACCATTTATAATTTTTATTTTTTTTTTTACATGTAAATTTTTTGTGTGACTTAGATTGTGCAATTGCTATTTTTATTTTACACCACTAAGCCATTGAAAATGTACAAAACCAAATGTAAATTTTTCATGTTATTAAAAAAAAACAGTTTTAAACTTTACTTGTATACTTTATTAATTTTTATAGCATAGAATTGAATTCTACTGGAAAACCAACTCAAACCTAGGAATAACTCAATTCCACGCAAATTATATGATTCCTTAATATAGCATTTACTATAATTAATTATACTGAATAATTACTCTTGTAATGAGGGCAAATTTGAGCTTACAGTGGGCATAAACCTGGTCCACAAACTCCACTTATCCCCTTAATGCTAGTGATCAATTCTTTAATACAAGTATTGTTTCTCTTAGGATGTACATAACTTTTTATATTTATTTACTGTATTTTCCTGACAATTTTACACATGTGTAACTGTGTGTGTGTGTACTTGAAATGTGTGTGTTAACACACTTACACAGATAAGAAGTAAACTTGAATGCCAGTAAGCAGGGGTTGAAATGTCTTGCATCAGTGTACAAGCATCATTGTGTTCTCTTTTTCTTCACTGCGTGTTTTCAAGGTGTGAGTACTTATGTGTAAATAAACTGTACCATTATCTACATGACCTCTCTTTGGTTGTGACATGTTTGCCTCATCAAACCTAGAACACCTCTCATGCACTCTCCAGCTTCCTGGTATGTGGAGGAACTTCTCTCCCTTGCCTGGGCACTACAGAGTTAACTTTAAACTTTTTATTTGAAGAGTGAGTTGTTTTTTTTTTTAATGTAACTATAAGCTAGGTTTGTTTTATCAGAATAAACTTTTTTTAAACCTATACTACTAAAATGATTTTTATTTATTTTATTACCCTGCATGTTGTATCAAAGAAAACTAATTATCTCCCTTTATGGGAAGTTAATAATGATTTTAAAACAGGACAAGAGAGTTAAGTTCCTCCCATCATTTCTCCTCCATGTTGGTGCATGTGATGGCTGCATGCTAGCATGTGTGCCTTGAACCATCATCCCATCTTGTGGAGCTTGTTGCCTCCTGCATCAGGTGAAAGGGTAGACTACTCTTTTGTTTGAGATTTTTACCCTGCGTGGTACCTCTCCATTTGATTCCTCACCTTGGGAGTGAGCTCTCAATTTTTTCCAGCACTGAATGTTTGTGTTCCCTCCCTTGTGTCTTGTCTGAATGTTGGCTTTGTGTCTCCTTTGTCTGCCTTAAGTCTTGTGTCTCCTTTGTCTGCCTTAATGTTTGTCTTGTGCCTCATTTGCTTGAATGTTCACATTGTGTCTGCCTAAAGTCTGTCTGAATGTTTGTCTTGTATCTGCACGATTTCTGTTTGTTTTCCATCTCCTTTGTCTGCCTAAAGATTGTTGTGTGTCTGATCAGATTGTGAATGTTTGTCTTGTGTCTGCCTAACTAATAGCTGTGTGTTAATCAGTGAATAAAGACAACATGAAAATGGTTTTTTAGATCAACTTTGTATCATCTCCACTTGTAACTTTTTCAACTTAGTTCATTTTAGAGAGCATCCATTTGATTTCCCAACCAGTTTTGCTGTTTCTTGAACTAAGCACATCTTTGAGGTGTATTGTGAAATCTCTTATGTAACTTCCAACTTTTCCTTTTGAGGTGTTCTTGTCCACAAAAACTGGAGCAATATCTTTTCCATGGTGCCATGTTCTTCAACAGTAACCAGAGCTCCCATTCTAGTTTCCAACATTTTTGTGTGCTTTTTTAAATGGGGTTTTTTTTTTACTAGTTGAAAATATTTATTTTAAAATAGATTTGTATAAAAATACAATCATAATATACATTTTCATTACATTAATTTTTTAAAATTTGAAGTCTGCTTGAATGGTTTGTTTGTTAGTTTAAAATTACAGAGCCATGAAAATGTATGTTTTCAATTTTTTTTTAATCATTACATTGGAGATTGGGTTTGCATTGAAATTATAAACAACACAGAAAGTATGTGACATCGTATTTCCTCTAAAATAGTTTTGAAATTATCTCCAATTGATGAAAAACGAATGTTGAAAATTGATACATTTCCCCCTTCCACTTTGGTTGAGGTTCTTGTAAATTTTCTTGTCATGCACTGTGCTGTATTAATGTGCTGGATCTTCTTATGTGTGGGGGATATGGAAGTTTGATTGTTGGTGAAATGTGAACTAAACAACAGCAAGACTTGTCTGTCTTCCTTGTAAGATGGGTGAAAGAAATGTTGTTATATGTGCCATTCTTTGATAAAATCTGGCTGGTGATGGACATATTTCTTCCAGTCTCGTCAAATTTCTTGTGCTGAAGTTTGAGGCCACTTACCTGGCTCCACGTTTTAATTTGATAACAAACAAATGCTTGTGTGAGAGCATTCATGCATGATATACCAAGGGTTTACAGAAGAGTCTTAGATTGTGAACTCTTTAAATTATTCATTTCCTTGATTGGTATGAAACACACATGTGTTAATAATCATGTTTTTTTTTTTTAAATATCCCTCAACTGTGATATTTATAAATAAGGATGCCCCAGATTTTTTTTTTCTTCACACCATCAAATAAACATCTTCACTACT